CCTGCTGAAGGAATTCAGCCAAAGGTCGTCAGCATCCCGGAGATTCTTCAGCCCTCAAATCCATCTTTCCTATCCCACACACACACAGAGGCAGCCTCAGGGACAATCATGGACTTACAAGGGCATTCAGTGACACATGTGGCTCCGAAGGTGTAGCGCCCGTTTGGATTGGGAACAGACTCGTAGTTGTCCTGGATGTAGTGGAAGAAAAATGGGCAATGCAGCTCGCACATCCCGCTGTGGTTGAAGTGGAGGCAGGCCTGGAGGGAGAGGAAATGCAAAAGGAAGAGGCAAACTCACTTTGGGGACTTCGTTGCTGGAAGAATGGTGTGCAAAACCCAGAGGAATTCTGGACACGCAGCCTCGTTAGATCCTGACCTGGATGGCCCAGACGAGCTTGATCTCAGAGATCTTTCATTCTTAGCAAGAGGCTCTTTAGGTCCTCTTCATCCAGTTGGGTGTAGTGGTTAAGTGCGCAGACTCTGGCTGAGTTCAGACTGGCAGTTTGCCCCGATATACCCACGTTTCAGAAACGTTCACACAGGCACATCTGTCAGGCGTTCCCCGGCCGTACTCAACCCTTCTCGTAACGCTTCACTCCCGAGTTTAAAAGATACCTGGTGAAAGTGGTCGCAAACCCTGGAGAGCGCCTTGATCCCATGTCCATCCCGCACCAATACAGTGTGAATGCCAAAAGCCGCATTTTTCTTGTGTGCTTATGCACTCATGCGCATAAGCACACATCAGAGTAAGGTGACTCATTGACTCGGGGTGCAGGAGGGACCTTATCAAGCCATCTTTAGTGGCGGGGCTGGAAGCTGCGGTAGTGCGGTTGCCCGAACCCCTAATTTTTACTCAAATGGATGGGTCCACGATGAAGGAACCTTGCGAGTACGAGACGGTGCCCTTACGGTTGGGGGCGGGAGATCACTGGGAAGAACGCTCGTTCGTGATCACCCCTACCGCCAGGCTGCATGGGCACGATCCCTATATACTGTGGGACGAGGGGAAGGTGCAATTCATCTCCCCCCGATGCAAGTCGCATTTATGGAACCCGCAGTGGGGCTCCCAGCCAGAAGCCGAGGCCCCCTCGGGTTTGCCTGGCTCAGGAGGAGTTGGTTTCGAGTCCCCCCGAATATCGGGACTTGGTCAGGGTATTTGAAGAGGAAGAAGCGGACGAGCTCCCACCCCATAGATTCAGATTGTAGTATTCAATTACTGCCAGGTCATAAATTGCCTAAGGGACGCATTTATGCGATGGGACCCTCCAAAAAAGATGAACTGCGTACGTTTATCGATAAGAACCTGGCCCGGGGTTTCATCAGGCCGGCTTCCTCACCCTTTGCTGCTCCAGTGCTGTTCCGGAAGAAGAAGGATGGGGGGCTGAGACTATGTACTGACTATAGGGGCTTGAATGCTGTTTCGTCTACCAATGCCTACCCCATGCCGCTCATCAAAGACTTGTTGGCCGAGGCGTCTAAAGGGAAAATCTTCTCCAAATTGGATCTCAGGGATGCGTACTTCAGAGTTCGCATAAAAGAGGGAGATGAGCACAAGACCGCCTTTAATACACCCCTTGGCCTGTTTGAATACTGAGTGATGCCATTCGGCCTCCAGGGGGCTCTGGGAGTATTCATGAACTTGATTAACGAGGTGTTGCACAAGCATTTATTCAAGGGGGCCCTTGTTTACTTGGATGATATCTTGCTGTACTCCCCCGACCTCCCCTCACACGTGAAATTGGTGAGGGAAGTGCTACAGACGTTGCACAAGCACAAACTCTTTGCTAAACTCTCCAAATGCGAGTTTCACAAGTCGGTCATTGACTTTTTTGGGTATAGGATCTCAAACAAGGGCTTGGAAATGGACCCAGGGAAGGTTCGGGATGTACTTGGGTGGGAGGCCCCCCGCACACGCCGCCAGCTCCAGTCATTCCTCAGATTATTGAATTTCTATCGAAATTTTCTCCCCAACTTTGCCCAGATCAGCTTACCCCTCACTGACTTATTAAAAACAAAAGGGAAAGGTCCGGAAGCCACCAAACCGGGTGCTAAGCTTCAGTGGACGGAGGAATGCCAGGAGGCATTCGACCGACTTAAAGCGCTGTTCACGTCAGAACTGGTGCTTGCCCACCATGATGAAAATAAAAAAAATCATCGTCCAAGTCGACACATCGGACATGGCGATGGGGGGGGGGCGATGGGTTCTTACACCCCCTGGCCTATGTCTCCCGTAAGTTTAACAAGACTGAACGCAATTGGTCGGTTTGGGACAAGGAGGCGGGAGCGATCTGCTTGGCACTCTCGACATGGCGGGATTGGTTGGAAGGGGCCCAGGTGCCGTTTGAGGTCTGGACTGATCATAAGAACTTGAAGATGCTCAAAAAACCCCGTCATCTTAACGCTAAGCAACTGCGGTGGGCCAATTTCTTTTCCAAGTTTCAGTTCACTCTGCACCAGTTCCCAGGCTCCACGAATTCACTGGTGGACGCACTATCCCGCCTCCCACAACATGATCGCCAAAGGGAGGCGGTCCTAGACTCTATGTTCCCGCCCTCTCATCGGGGGGGTGACGACTCGCAGCCGTACAGCCTCCTCCCCTCCAGACCAAGCCTCCGGACATGATTCCACCCCCCATTCCTCCGGGTGGGGCGCGTTGGAACACCAGGTTTGCCTCCGCCTTCCCAGATGCCGACAGAGGAGAGTTGGAAAAGGTCGGGGGGGGGGGGAAAGGAAAGCGGATGGTTGCTGGTACCGTGGCACAAAACTGTTTGTGCCTAAATCGTTGCGTGGGGAAGTACTGGCTGCGGTTCACGGCTCCAAACTTGCAGGGCACTCTGGGTTCGTGAAATCCCTGCACCGGTTGCAAAGACAATTTTGGTGGCCTCTTATACACAAGGATTTATCTTCATTTGTTCAGACTTGCCAAACTTGTGTCATGTGTAAACCCCGCCCCGGCAAGACTGAAACCTCTCCCGATCCCAAGTCGACCATGGGAGGGGATCTCTATGGACTTCATTACGGATTTACTCCCTAGTAAAACCATGACGGTCATTTGGGTGGTGGTTGACTTGTTGTCCAAACAAGCCCATTTTGTCCCGTTTGCGTCCTTGCCTACAGCCAAGGCTCTGGCAAAAGCCTTTATGCAACACGTGGTGCGCCTCCGCACGCTTCCGAGCAAGATTATCTCCGACAGGGGGAAGCAATTTGTTTCCAAGTTTTGGAGTGAATTATTAAAACTCATGGGGATTGAACGGGCCCTGAGTAGCGCTTATCATCCAGAAACTGATGGACAGACCGAACAAGTGAATCAGACTTTGGAATAATATTTGCGTTGTTTCACTAACTACCAGCAGGATGATTGGGTAGACTTACTTCCCCTGGCTGAATTTTGCTATAACAGCACATGTCACTCATCTACGGGAATGTCCCCGTTCAAGGCACTCTATGGATATGACAGTCCCCCATTGCCCTTTATTGAGGGAGTTACCTTGGGCCCGGGGGATGCTGCGCAGTGGTGTCAACAACTTCAGGACTCTTGGCCGTTATTGTGCAAAACTTTGGAAACGGCCAAAGAGGCTTACAAGGCTCAGGCTGACAGGAAAAGGGTGGAGGGACGGGCTCTGCAGCCTGGGGACTCGGTACATGTGTCAACAAAAAACATTAAGGTGTTGAGACCCAGCCGCAAGCTGGGATGGAAGTTCATTGGCCCGTTGAAAGTCAAACGCCTGATCAATGAGGTGGCTGTGGAGCTGGACCTACCTAAAAACATGCGCAATATCCATTCTGTGTTTCATTTTAGCCTCCTGAAGCATGATCCAGACCCAAGCCCCTGGGGCCAACAAAAACTGTACCCCCTCCTATCATGGTGGAGGGCGAAGAACATTTTGAGATCTCTCTAAAGTGAAACGTGGCAAACTGTTTTATTTGGTGGAATGGTTGGATTTTGGGCCCCAGCACCATGAATGGGTGGAAGTAGGGGATATTCGGGCCCCTAGGCTCTTGCAATAGTTTCACCGGGAGTTCCCAGAGAACCCGGGAGATATCCCGGGCTGACCGGGAGGTCTCCCAGGTAGGCTGGGAGTTTGTTCTTTGGGTGGGCAGAATGTCAGCTATGCTGCCATATATTTTATGGGCCTGGGTTCGCTTTCATGACCTGTGTGCCAGTTGCTGCCTCATCCCCCCTCGTTATCACTGACATTGTAGCCAGCCTGTGTAGTGTCTTCCCATCAATTACCCGTGAGATTGGTTTCGTTTCCCAGCCTCGGCTCTAACTGCCTTGATTCTCTTTCCCGCCCGCGGGAGTAAGGCCGATTGGCCCATAGGTGTGTGTGTGTGGGGGTGCTTTCGAATACCCTGTATCTCTCTCTGCTTTCTATGATGTAGTCATTCCTAACAATGCTTGTGGCTATGCTACCATAGTGCTAACAATAAAGTAAAACCTTCGAAGAAGCGTGTGCTCTGTTGTTTGACTGTGGGTCCTGACAGTTTTAATTCTGTACTATTTATGCTTTTATTCTGTATTGTTGTATTGTTGTTGGAAGCCGCCCTGAGCCTGCTTTGCGGGGAGTGCGGGGTATAAATTTGACTATAAATAAATAAATAAATAAAAAGTTTTAATTGTTTTATGTGTACTAGGTACACCAACTTTGTAAGCTGCCCTGAGCCCGTCCGCGGTGGAGGACGGGGTATAAATATGCTAAAATAAATAAATATCTATGTAATTTATTAAATCACTGATTTTTGGTGTTACAATCTGGGCACGTGCATTTTTTTTTCATGTTCACATAGATCGCCGCGCCGCTGTCTTTCCTCTTGTACCAGCAGGAAGCGGGCAGGGTCAGTATTTTTACAGTCAGAGCTTGGCAACACTTTTGCTAAACGAGGAATAGACACTGCAGCAATCTGGGGGCACATGCACTCACCAGGCAGTCGGAATGCTTCGGTCCCGTGCAGCCTGCTGCGCATTGCTCGTGGCAACAGTCTGTGGGGAGAGGCCCTTTGCACCTCGGACAGCTGCTGGCGCAGATCGTGCTGGTCACTGGGCAATTGCAAAACAGAAAGACGGAAGACATAAGCCCGCGTCCCCTTCTTGGCACACACCGAGGGGCTTCCTCTCCCCCAACCCTCTGCAAGAAGGCCTACGGAGGCGACCAGCAACTCCACATCAGGGAGCCGGTAGCAGCGGCTGTGATATGGAGGAGGTGGTGTGGAGAGGCCTCCAGGAAAGATGCCTTCCAGTGCTCTCACACGACGCATACTCGCTCCACTGCATGCGCACACCTTCCTCTCTCCACTGTGCATGCACACACCTTCCTCTCTCCACTGTGCATGCGCACACCTTCCTCTCTCCGCTGTGCATGCGCACACCTTCCTCTCCCCACTGTGCATGCGCACACCTTCCTGCACTTCCTGCTGTGCTGGAAGAAGGTGTTCAGTATGAGCCTTTTATGCTCCTCTAAGCTCCCCCCAGCACTGCAAAGGCAAAAAGGAGTATGAAGAAGGGGGCTGTGCTTGGCACCTTGCAGGAGCCAGATCTCTACAGCAGGAACTCACTTGTTTGACAGTTCTGTTTTGCTTCACCCCAGCAGTGGCCGTTGGGGCAGACTCGTCTGCAGTCAGGGCCTGGAGGGAGAAAAAGAGAACAGAGGTCGCCGCTGAGAAGTGGCTCTCTGCAAAACTCAGAGAGGCTACGAGCAACTTGGGCAAACAGGGGCCGGGGACACGCTAAGACTGGGTGGCAACGGCTGTGTGGTGTTTGGTGTAGTGGTTAAGTGCGCGGACTCTGATCTGGGAGAACCGGGTTTGATTCCCCACTCCTCCCCTCGCAGCGGCTGCACCTGGCTGGGTGACCTTG